GTGAAATTTACAGCATGTAAATAAATTTTTTATGAAACTTAATAACTGCTTATTTACTTTACCCAAATATATCGAAATCATTTGTTATACCGGCACAGCGTCCTTTCATATTAAAGGCATGGCCAACACAAACAAAGCGAATGTTTATTATATGTTGTAGGTCTGTTATTTTTTTTTTAGAGATAAATCAATCTAAATAAACATTGTATGTTCGGCAGACAAAACATGTTTAGAAAACATATTTGTACAATTCATGTACAAAACATTTCAGTACAATGATCTATGCAGATAAAATCTATAAAACAAATGTCTGCCATTAGCACAATTAGAGCAAATTTTCTACTTTGTCCCTTACCGAAATTCTAAGCAAAATTCGATTTTTCGTATAGATTTCCATTAACTTTTCTTTAAACTTTTAACTAATAAATCAGTATTTGAAATATTTTAACTTAGTTCCAAAATTTATACAAAACTCTTCTTCCAGAATTTTATTAATTCGGCAAAGGAAATTAAATCAATTCTTTGGAAAACTTTTTTATATGCGTTGCAGGACGCAGGATCTAATTTTACAACTAGTTTAAGGAAAAGTTAGTACTAAAGTGAAAACGCTTATTAACTAACCATCCATGCTAAAATTCTTAGAGGAAATTCACGATTATTTGTGTCCACATTAACTTGCAAAATTTCAGCAAAATTATTATTAGTTCGAAAAATATTTTGAGGCAAAAGTGGTACAGAATCTGTAGGGCCAGCCTAATAAGCAAACAAATGATTAAAGCATTAAATGAGGAGTACGCACTTAACATAAAGATGCTTCTAATTGCCACACCTCGTTCAGATAAATTATTCGGTTGTTTTACATCTATAACCGAAATATTTTTTTTAAGTAGTTGTAGAGTTATCACTTGATTCACCCTCCATAAAAGATAATGAAATGGTGTGAGAATACTGCTGAATGGTTCAAGTAAATTTGATTAAAACTCCTAGGTGTAAGCTAAAACCACAATTTAAAAATAATTATATCAGGGAAAACGTACTAGACGCCGAAAAGGCCGTATCTAAACCGATCAAGTATCTTATCGCAGAAATATTATGATGCTGCCGATTTTAAAACGGCGTAATTTTGAAAACTTTTTAAAGTGAAAATGTGTGTCATAAATATACGAATCGATATTACCCAAAGGGGCTACATCTTGAAATTGGTCCATCTCTAGCTCTATCGCTTTTATTCATTCGTTTCATTAAGTACGATATTCTTTACATGTTGCTGAATTAAAAATATCCAAAACCAATTTAATTTAACAAATCAGTAAACATATAAGACATCACGTTTACAATTATAGCACCGCACAGTGGAATGTGCGAATTCCAGAACAGCATTTGAAACCGTCACACCTGAATTCCCTCCAGAAATTGTTTCATTAACTTAAGTAAGACAGGCCGAAAACCTTAACTCCCATGTGTCCATACCCTGGTGTACCGAGATAAAATTGTTGAGTAACGCTGAATTATTACCATCAGTAGATTCGAAACATTCATTAGAGCAAGAGTGAAAACCAACATTTAGCATTTAGTGGAATCCCAAATTTTTCAATCAGTATTCCCAAACTGGACATTTGCACTTCGTTAACAAGTTTGTGCAATATGGTGAACAGGAACCTAAATACCCAGGGACACTTTTAGAGTAAAGAGACTTTTGCTTGTAAAATACAGCGTAACTGGATTTTAATTATATCTATTCATAATGAATCCCTTGGACATGAGCATAGAATAAGGAATATGCTGCAATTTCACGTTTCAAAATTGTTACGTATGCACTGTCTCTTAGCTTACAATTACAGAATTAACTCCTTTATAAATAATATATATTACTAGCACTTATTCAGAATCTTGATTTCCTGAATATTTCGGAATGTGCGTTCAATTTTTAGCTCTCTGTTACTCTATTATAAAAATTGGAAGATAGATTGCTTCTAACATATTTTGAATCACAAGAAAATTTGCTAAAGAATAAGCAAACAGTCATACGCTAAATCCATCTATATGCGTGGTGCTCCTTAATAATGGGTGAATATTGAAAATGTTTTTGTACCGAAAATACGGAATATGTATTTATATTGGATTGAATTGAGTTTGAGGAGAAAAGCAAATAAATAAATATCCTGAAAATTGACAAGGATTTCTTAGAGGACTTTATTGCGTCGTGCCGTTAACAAAGGCGTATAATCCAGATAAATGTAATAATGCGTCCGCCTTAAAGGACGGGCCTTAAATGACCATACTAATTTCGTCAAAAAGGTAGAAAAATTCAGATAAATTTGTCAACTGACGCACTTGTGCGGTAATAATCAAAGAAAATATTTTTCATTATGAAGAAAATAAATTTGAAGCAGAAGACATCCAAGTCATGATAGTGAAAATTATAAGCAAGAATAGTTGTTCTGTAGGAAACGTTGGCTAGTGTGTATAGTCCTCCAAGACACAACAACAAATGTGGAAGATATGAAGAACTTTTCAAAAATCTTGGAACTCGATTTATAGTAGGCTGAGACTACAACGCAGTGGGGATCCAGACTTATTGGGGATTGATCCACTAAAGGAAGGGAACTGCTAAGAGCGGCCCAGAGCCGTAGATGGGAAGTCGTTTCAACGGGCAAACCTACATACTGGCCTACAGATCCGAAAAAAATGTCTGACCTGATAAACTTTTACATAATTAAAAATGTATTACGCAATTATATGAAAATTGAAGACAGCCTCGAGCTTAATTCGGATGATTCGCCGATTGTTTTGACTCTGGGCGAACATATAATTTCAAAGCCAAACAATCCCTGTCTAGCTAATAAAAGGACTGACTAGAAGATGTTATGCCAGAAGAACAACAAGGCTTCAGAAAAACTAGATCGACGCTGAACGCTATCTTTATAATCAGGCAAATTGTGGAAAAAGCCATTGAATACGGAAAACCCGCATTTATGTGCTTTACCGATCTCACCAAGCCATTTTATCCAGTAAAACTGTTCGACCTTATCAATATTTTAAGGAGAAAACACATTTCTGAAGCTATTATAGGAACTATCAAACAGTTGAACGTCAACACTTCGACTCACATCTTAATGAACCAAAAACTGACAGGCAATTCCAACGCCATCGGGAATTAGACAGGGAGCTTCTCTAAGCCCTCAGCTGTTTAACATCATAATGAATGAGATAATTAGTCACGTCAAGAACTCGAGCAGAGGGTACAGACTTACAACTGGCATTACAAAAATAAAAATTATGTGCTATGCCGACGACGCTGTGATCATAGCTGAAAGCGAGGATGATCTTCAAAGACTTTTGCACGCATTCTATGTCAAGGCTATGACCTGTAACATGTAAATATCCACTACCAAAACAACACTCGTAATCGCAAAAGAGCGCGTCAGATGTAAACTCGCACTCGATAATAATTTCCTAGAGCAGGTAATAGAGTTTAACTACCTGGGAGTGCAAATAACCTCCAGTCAACACAGAGACAATGAAGTAAGGGTTCAAGCAAACAAGGCTAGCAGGATAGCAGGTGCTCTACGAGACGTAGTACGGAACAACAAACACATGGGGAAACAGGCTAAAACTAAGCTCTATAAAACTTGCGTTCGACCCGTACTGACATACGCTACAGAAACCCGAGCAGACACCAGTCAAACCAAAAATATCCTACGAGCAACTGAAATTAAAATACTGAGGAATATAGCAGGATAGATAGAGATCGACAACATAGTCAGATGGGGACGGAAGCGTCGTAAAGCCTGGAATGACCACGTCACTAGAATGAATATGGACAGGGTAGCAAAAATTGCTCGAGACGGGTTTCCACAGACACGCCGACCACTGGGCAGACCTCCCAAAAGATGGGAAGACTCCTCGACATCCATATCCCAAGAAAATTAAGTTGGAAAATACAAGCCTAAGGCTTAAAATATGAGGAAGAAGACTGGAAGAGTTTTAGAATAACATTAGAAGAACGAGTTAATTTGGCAGTACCGGTACACTCAAGAACAATTAGACTTCGAGGTGGAAAAACTAATAGCTGATATCCAACATTCAGCATGGAAAAACACACCAGAAATTAAAAGTAAACTGGAAAGAAATAACCATGCTAAAGAAATTCTGAAATTATTATCGGAAAAAAGAAAAGAAAGGAAAAAATGGCAACAGTTCAGATCCCCACCAAATACAACTATTCTGAATAAACTTACATGTCAGCTGAGACGAGAGATTTCAGTTTCCTCCAATATTCTTGGGACAAAAATAATTTGCATATATTATCGAAATAGAAATAAAGGAAACAACAGCTGCTAACAACTTTATATTAGATAATATTAAAATAATCTCTTAAGTGAAAGTGGAATACACCTATTAAGACTTACCAGACTAAGGTTGAGCTTTAATGAGGCTTAAACACGGATAATGGAAGCTTAAGACGCGGCGCTGTGGTTTGAATATACCAAAGAAGAGCGAAACATTCTGAAATGCTTATGTACAATATAAAYAGTGTTATGAGATTCCATAAGGGGAATTTATCTCAGAAAGGGCAAAAATGTTTTTTGGCCTGTGTTGTGTTTCCATTTATTCAAAAACCATACATATGGGGATATGTACAAAAATGACATGAGGAAAACATTGTACATAATTTCAGAAGTACGTGAACTGAAAACAGGGAACTTTAATGACCAAGAATGCGTTGGTTTTTGACTCTTAAAACAGAAAAAATTAGGAAACGTTACAAATTTACGTTTACGAATGACAAGACAGTTKTTAGYTTTATTTTAAATTATGGATACTGTTTTACGAAAGTCCTCAAAGAAAGATAAGGCCAGAAAGCTCTAGAAGTAACAGGCAACATATCTACAATTTGAAAATGTCAGTAAACGTTATATTT